GACAAAAATGTGTAACTACCTACACCGTGAATACACGTCTGCACGGGTCGAACCTGACGAAAACACAAAGAAACCCGAGAACCTAGGCGACGCCCGATCAACATTAATGCGCAGTGTCGACAACTGTCCCAACCCACAATTGCCTTTTGGCCGCTAAACCAAAATGCAGTGATAAACAGTTGTGAAATCGCGCGAAACTGGTCCGACCTGGAAAATACGCCATTCCGTTTTTTCCGTGATGACGTTAATCAAGGAGATACGACGTATACTCCTTGAAACAGGTAAACTCGTGTTATCGAACAAAAGATACCATGGAATATCACGAAATCATCGAAATCGGTCGACGTGTGGGTGTAATAATGGTGTTTCGCAATACCCTATTTAAAACAACTGTCACAGATATAATCAAACATAAATTACGAAATCTAGATGAATATTAAAAATCGTCAAGGTGACGTTGACGCTTAAAAAACACAAAATTTAAAATATAATGCGACACGAAATGGTCAAGAAATCCTATGAAACTCAGCACATTGGTAATTGCATAATAGACGGCTCACATCGAAATGTTTTTTAAAAATTTAGTGTACGAGAAAAATTCACAAAATTGCAAAATATTATGGTGAACTCGCGACATGCATGGTTTTTGAAAGTGTCATGAGAACGTTCATTGTTGTTAAAAGGGAGGTGTATCGATACACGCTAGGTCGTAGAATGTTGTAGAACGGCAAACGGATATTTTAAAACGCTAACATACGTCAAAAACGGAAAGCGATAATGATGTATACACGAATGAGACGAATGCAGAAGCGAAACGATGTTGGTCGCCATTTGCGGGTGTCAAAATAAGGTCATAAAATTCAGTAGACCCGGTAAATATAAATAATATTTAAAAATAAATTGTTGAATACTCACCTAAACTCGTTATAAGCTCGGTGGAAACAACAGCAGCTACGGCGACAAGATCAAAACGGATGAAAAAACATGAATAGATCGTCAAACGGTGGTAACGCGATCCGCCATATTGGTTCCTCCTTGTACATTTTCATCGGCGGCCGTTCGACACCCGTTGATCATTCATGTTAGACGTTCCATTGGTCGCCTATCACCAACAGATACGATAAAGCGGGTTACGAAACGATAAGAAAGAAAAAATTTGAAAAAAAGAAATTCATAAAACACTGGTCGGCGGTCGACAAAAATGTGTAACTACCTACACCGTGAATACACGTCTGCACGGGACGACCCTGGCGAAAACATAAAGAAACGGGAGAACCTATACGTAGCCCTATCAACATCAATGCCAGCACAGAGCAGGGCAGTTCAATACGCAGTGTTGACAACTATCCCAACACAGAATTGCCTTTTGGTTGCTAAACCAAAATGCAGTGATAAACAGCTGCGATATGATGCGGAACAGGATGAACTTGGAAAAGACGCCATTTCGTTTTTTACGTGAGACGATAATCAAGGAGATACGACGCGTACTCCTTGATATTGATAAATTCGTGTTATTGAACAACAGATACCATAGAATATCTCGAAATTATCGAATTTGGTCGTCGTGTGCATGGGCATTCTCACGAGAGGGGGGGATAAAGAGGATAGATACCCCAAGGTTCTTTATTTTACTAACTTTAATTTACCTAACTCAACCTTCAGGCTTATTATATAACCATTATTTTCATCCCCCTCCATTAAAATATCCTGAGAACACCTCTGGAGGTGTGGGTGTAATAATGGCGTTTCGCAATGCCTCATTTAAAACAACTGTCACAGATATTATCAAACATAAATCACTATAGAAATTAAATTATAATTGGGCACTAAACGGTCAAAAAAATCCTATGAAACTCGGCACGTCGATAAATGTATAATAGACTGCACATATCGAAATGTTTGTAAAAACTTAAAGCACGAGAAAAATTCACAAAATTGCAAAATATTATGGTGAACTCGAGCCATCCCCCAAACTAGAGGGTATCCACACTGGTGGGCCTCCCTCCTCACTCCATTCATATGGATCCTTTATTATATAATCAAATTTACTTATTGTATGTATATAAATATTACAGACTGTAAAAATTCTATTTTATCTAACAGATAAAAAAAACTAGGTCGTAGAATGTCGAGGAACAACAAACGCTTATATACGTCAAAAACGAGCAGAGCGAAAATGATGTTTACACGAAAGAGACGAATGCAAAAGGGAAACGATGATAGTCACCATTTGCGGATGTCAAAATAATGTCGTAAAATTCCGTAGACGCTACAAATATAAATAAATACTTCAAAAATAAACTGTTGAATACTCACGTAATCTCGTTATAAGCTCGGCGGAAACTACAGCAGCTACGGCGACAAGATCAAAACGGATGAAAAAGCATGAACAGATCGTCAAACGGTGGTAAACGCGATCCGCCATATTGGTTCCTCGTTGTACATTTTCATCGGCGGCCGTTCGACTTTTCATCGGCGGCCGTTCGACGTCCGTTGATCGTTCATGATGGACGTTCGATGATCGCCTATCGCCAACAGACACGATAAAGCGGGTTACGAGACGTTAAGAATGAAATAATTTTTAAAAAATAAAAGAAGAAATTCATGAAACACTGGTCGACAAAAATGTATGACTTCCTATAACGTGAATACGCGTCTGCACGGGTCGACCCCGGCGAAAACATAAAGAAACGCGAGAACGCCGAGAACGTACGCGACGCAGTTAAATTCATTGCAGAAAAATGAAAAAAGTAGTGGTAGTGTATTCCAGTGGTCAGCTTGACATGGTGGGGAAAGCGTCCTTCCCACCCGTCCCTGCACTTTATCATCTTCAACAATGCTAATGGTTTTGAACTACACCCTATGCATAGTGTCGCCAACCGTCCAGACCCAGGATAGTGCTTGACACTTAGGTAAACCGGTGTTGTCAATAGCAGCATACCCTCATGGAACATAGATATTTCACCTTGGATTAAAAACCCTAAATTTAACATTTTCGCTCTCTAATAATTTATTGTATTTATGAAAATATATTATATTAATATTAAATTTTAACAATTTATTTTACGGCAGTAAATATATTTATTTAAAACATTTCTTACCCTCAACGATGGAATAATTATTCATTGGGTTGTTTACAACTTTATTCTAACAAAATCACACATTATAATGTATTTGCGTTAACAACGGGATTACAAATAATTTACAATAACTTAATTATAACTATCTATACCATCATATTATAATTTTATTTGGTCATAATTTTTAAGATAAATTATATTTATAAATTGTTCCTTAATTTTTAAGTAACGTTTGGAGTTACTATAAAATATATTAATGCCGATATTTTTATAGGTATTTACAACTCATAACAGGCAAAATATGTAAACTTGAGAGATGCCGTGTTAATATAACATTTATTTATTGACATAAACTTGTCTTGACAATTGTTCGTTATAAAAAATCAATTTAATAGTGGCTCCAAACATTTTTACGAAAAATTATAGTATTTAATTATTATTAATTTAGCGAGGAGGTTACTTTTAAAAAGTTGAATACAACTAATCGAATACTGGACTATAATATTTGAATCGCCAATAGGAATCCTATCAATAAAATATGTCAACTATTTATAAGGTGTATTTGTATTATGTAATACATTGTCCGTCTTGATAATTCGTTACAACAGTAATTTTTTATTACAATAATTGTCATTGCTTTTGTAAGCAATTTTATTGTTATAAGCCATAATGACTTTTTATAACTTATAATGATATAAATAAATAAATAATAAAATATGTTTTATTTTTTTAAATTAATAAATTTTAGATTTAAAATACTTTTAATTCTTTCAATACAACATTAAAATTATTTATTATTAATAATATATATTTTTTAGTTATGTTGTATAAAATATAATAATAATAATAATTATACCCATGAATTATTATTAAACAATGAACTCTGTGTGTTAATGAGCTCTTAAGTCTATAGTCTCTACACATTAAAAATTGTAACATAACAGTGAAGACGAAAGCTCATTTGCATACTCCCGATTACTGTTAATATTATGATAAAGATCCGTACTGTGTTTCGGAAGAAATCGTCCGGCATTCATGAAGACATTCCTGTCTTGTTCATTGGCGGCGGCGTTCGTTTCTATTGTAAACGTTATTTATCTATAAGACCGATCGACACGATGACTACTTACTAATTACGACCGATTTGAAAAACTGAAAAAATAAATAAATAAACACCGAGAACAATGACCAATTATAATATAATATATATAATATTAAACTTGTCTTGTGCAATGATGTATGCTTACAGTCGGAATTCTCATTTTGTTTTTCTACCTTTGGACAACTCAATTTGTTAACTCTAACCGAGTCTGGTTTTTGATCTTGAGATAACCGGGCGTGAAACTGAGTACCTACCTAACCTACCTACTTATATAATAATACCTATGCGCTTGCCAACAACCGTGGAAATATACATATTAGGTATCTCGTGCGAAAAGCTAGTCTGTAGAAAAAAAGGAACCAAAAAACACAATAGCCTTTCCCAATTATAATTGTATTGTATTACGAATTTATTGTGATAAGTATTTAAGTAGATACCTATAAAAGAAAAATTAATTTGACGATAATTTAATATACCTACTTCATTGATTGACATATAGGTGTTTAATATTTTGTGATAGTATCTCAATATTATATATTGTTCTTATACATTATAAGTAATTTTACACAGGTACCTACTTAATGGAGAGTAAAATAGAATAAGTGGTAGTCAAAAATAATTATATAATCGTAGTATGATTTTATAAATATTAATATTACCAAGTAACTATGGTCTATAATGATTTATGTTTATATACTATTGTCTATTATTGTACTTTTATACTAGGAAGTAGGTACCTACTACCTACCTATCACCAGGTACATATATTTATATGAAGCAAGATAAACAAATAATTATTGAGATTGTAAAATGTTAATACAATAGATAAAATATTTATAATAAGTCTATTAGGTACTGAAATTAACTTTTACACATATATTGATAAATGTATTAATGTTAATAATTAGGGTAACAGCCAACAGGCCTAACAGCCCAATACTCAATAATCAGCAGTCTGCAGACAATTTAATTTATGAATAAGATATTCATTTATAGTGTTTAACATACATAATAATATTTTGTTATAGGTAGTTTATTATTTAACATTACCATGTTAAATATAGATAAAAATGATATTGAATTAAATTTATTAAATAACTTAAAAGAGTTTCAACTTTATATTGCAACACTAATAGTTATATGTTGCTATTCTATTATTAATCCATGTTATTCATATTACATGCATTATGTATTTAAGTATTTGTGTACAAATATTTCACAATAAAAGCTTTAATTTTATTAAACAGATCTTAAATAATACTATTTATAATAAAATAAATATCTTATGTTGTATACTATTTATTAATTATTTATATATTTTAAATAACATATTACAGTAGTTTAAAATAACAATAATATATACCTAACTACTTAACATAATTAATAATACAATTTAACTGTTTTAATTTGACAAATAATAACAAATAATTTTGTATCATATTATAAATATGTTAAAATTATAATATAAAACTTTTTCCCAATCAACAATATTGATTATCTTTATTGAGTATTTAATTCTTGCATATTATGTTTCTACAAATGGAGAACATACCAAATTTGTGTTGTTAAATTAATATTTAATTTCACTCTGATGTGAAATTTGAAGTATTTATAAACAAAATCAAGTATAGAGTTATTAAACTCAATTATACAAATTTTCTTAGTATTGAAATTTCCAAGCAAGCTATGAGTATTTGAAAAATTCTTAAACTTACTTAAAAATTAAATTAAAATATTGTTCAAACTTGAAAAATAATACAGATAATGTTCATAACTTTAAGTTTGATTATAGGTAAATTCATTACAATATTTTACCTAACAATATAACATTTAACCTACTGACAAAATATAACATATACAAATATAACAAATTGTCTATAAGATAAAAACAAAACATGTGTTATGACGAGGATATGACATAATTTTAAATTCAATTTTATACTTAATACAATTTCAAAAAATTCTGAGAAAGTTTAACACAATTAATAGTCAGAAACACTTTTATTGTTATCACAATAAACACAATGTCTGTAGTAAAACTCCATAACTCCTTCACACATAAGGCAGAAGCAACGTTAAATAACATTTATTATGTTACCTTAGCAGAATTTATTTAATAGGACATACTTAACTAACCATACTAGAAAATTATAAACTATAACATATATTATATCTAAATTATATATAGTGTTCCTAATTCCTATGTATGCTGTCTATGTATATTATTTTAATGTTAATAGCTTTCTATAGCAGGAATAGCAAATCCATGCTATATGGGAAAAAAATTATCTAATTTTTTAACAATTGCCAACAATTTTCATCTCTAGTCTACAACAATAAATTATAATATCAAAGTAAATCATTAATTATTCATATGAGGTAATTCGATAATACTCATTAGTCATTAGATATTGAACATTATACAATTATATACATTAAAAAGTGAATACAAATTTACATGTATGTAACTGAAAACTAATTACATTACGGAATAATTTAAAAGTGTAGTTAAAAATTACAATAATTTAAATAATTATTATAATAAATACAAATTTTAATTTAAATCATAAAACAAACAATTCAAAATACTTAACTTTAAAAATGAATCATTTGAAATTATTGAAAAAAAAAAATAAAACAATAAAAATAAACTATAGAAAGATTAATACTTAACTAGTTACTACAGTTACAACTTTAGGCACCACTATATTTTTTTATTATCATTGATGTTTTCCAGAAAATTAAATTCTAAGTTTGTTAAAAACATAGATTACATAATAGACATAAAACAATGTGATAGCATAGACTAAATTCTATAAAAAAAAAAAATGTATTATTTTATATATAAATAATTTGCCATCCTTACTCTATACTTTAAGTCTTAAATAATACTGATTTAGAAGCCTGATTTATGATTGGTCTTGCAGAATGACTTTCAACTAGCCCCTGAAAAGTATACTTTAGTTGAGTTTATACAGAATTTTAATGTTGTTGGGTTGTAAATGTAATCTATAAAAGCCTCAGAATATAAATTGAAGTCAAGGATAATGGTGATTGTAGGGTGGACCAGACTAACACTGTAATACAACTTGTGATTTATGAAATTAAAATTGAAAAGTTTCTTAAATTTCTATAATATTTAGAATTCATAAAATGCTTGATATAACACTTTCCAATTTAAAATATTAATAAAAGTATTACAATAGTTACTCAATAATACAAAATTCAAAGGACCGAGTTAAAAATTCGATTTATAGAGGTTTTCAATCTACCGAGTATTCGAATAATTGGGGGATTTTAGACCAGAAATGAAGTATGATTTGAAAAATTAATATCTGGATTTAATTTTAAAAAAGCTATCGCACGAGTATAAAATGAATTACAAAAAAATATGATATTACTGAAAGTACTTCAAATTTATTTCGTATTAATTTAATTTTACTATGTATATTTTTATTTAGAATTGTAATTATTTTTGGGACTTTTTGTAGTAATGAAATTGAAGAAACATGTTTTCACAATCATACTGTCTATCCAAGTCTTTCTTTAGTTTATAAACTAATGATTACATTATCAGTAACTTAAGTTGACTATGAATGCAGCTTTTCAAACTTAAAATTTGTAAAGAATTATTTAAGGAATTCTCCCAATCAAAACCTGTTGGAAATTTTTAAGTTAATGAGTATTGAAAGACTTATAATCAAGTATTGACCCAAATGAAATTATTAATGAATTGACTTTTAGAAATACAATGTTTGGAAGTGTTATTTGGACTATCTTAAGGCTTAGGTAAAAAATTGAACATTTTAAATTTTGTATTATAATATTTTAATATATTTTTTAGAAATTTATTTTTAAAACAAAAGTAAGAAAGGATTGTTAGCATAAAAATAATATATTTAAAAAAAATAATGTCTCTGTTTATATATTTTTGATTATTTATATTATGAGGCCTTAATAAATATTTTCTGGTAGGCCAAAAATTACCTATCAGTCCATGAATGTTGACATACATATATATATTGTATATATATAATACACATTTTAAATAAATATAGTAAATATAATACCTTGATAGTTAATTTGATGTTGTTTCACACATTTATCAAACTATTTTCAAACAAATAGATTACAATAAACTTCCCTTCATTCACACCAAATTAACTTCAACCAAATTTTCTGTATTACAACTTCAGTGGAGCATGAATATTATCAACACCTAAAATAAATAAATATTAAAAATGTTTATACAAAATAAATTTAAACTACACAATATAATATGTACAGGAGTTAAAATAGGATACAAGAGAATATAGTCCTAAACCTGATTATGATTAAAAATGTACTTACACTAAATGTCTAAATGTACTTGTGATTAAATATTTTGTCTTATAATCTTAAAGCAATTTAAATTCTAGGAAAGTAGTTAATAGTTTAAATTGAAAAAATTAATAACAACAATGATTAATTATGTGTACATTTAATATATAATATGAAGTATTAATTTAAAGATTAGAAGAAAATAACAAGCACAATTATTATCCTCTATCCACCAACAAATGCATCAATACATCTAATAAAAATTATTTAAGATTATTTAAATTTACAGTTTTGAAACGCTCGAAACAATTTAAAGATCACAGTACCCATTTCTATTTTGAGGTACTTTAAGCAATGTTTTACTTTATGCTATAACTAGGACATCTGCAGAGGTGCATTAGCATATATTATATACTATTAATTAAAGTATCAATACATTTATGAATGTATTTTTTTTACAGACAGCAATGGAGGAACTATGAGAAAATTACTACTCTTCTGCTGCCATCGTTTATTGATGCATACAATACGTGCTACTGGATTTGTAGATATTAAATTAATTTAACTTAAAGCCTGTGAATTATCTAAAAGTGTTTCTCGACCTATAATTACACAAAAAGCTCAAAAGTGGTTTGTGAAGAAAAAATAAAATATTATTTGACACGGTACGCAACGGTCGATAGTACAAAAGTACAGACACTGAAGCGACCGATCTACACCATTATCACCATCACCACAGGTAAAGACACAATATAGTCAACTGCCCTACCACCGCCATAAAGGCCAAGGCGGGAAGGGAAGATAAGTCGTGCCAGATAAGCATCGACTGCCTGCGATCACTTACTGGTGTCACGAACGTCGCATATCTAACAGCGTCTCATGTTCCGACTGTTGTTCAAGCAACTCTACAATGACTCTATATGATTGGATTCACCAAGTCGCATCCAACCAATGAAGGTTAAGAACGTCCTTGTCGTATACTTCCAAGCAACCTACTTGTGTGGCTCCACACCCGTGCGAGTATTCACAATCATATGACATGCTTTCCGCGGATCAAAACCACAACAACCGCCAAAGCCACGTCATATTTTGTTTATTTGATTAACTAAATCAAATAGCCAGTTTTACTCACATTGAAGAAAGAAATTAAGATAAACAATAATCTCTATAATTTTGAAATAATTGGTATCAAATGTAATTATAGATATTTTGGAACATCTTCAATCACTAAAACATAACATTTCTAAATATTTCTCAGACTAAAACTCAGAAATGAAATATATTATAAATCCATTTGATGAGGATTACATTAAAAATATTTTAAAAGTTATTAAAGCAAAAAAAAAACATTTATCAACTTTACCAGTGACTATGTTCTTAAAACCTCATTCAAAACCATGAATATTTCAAATGTTTGATTGGAAGTGAAAAATGAATACTCAGCATATCCACACAGCTCCACAGTTTCTAATCCCATTTGTGTCCACGTATCTATATGAAAATACATTTTCTCACTTATTATACATGAAAAATAAATATAGAAATAATTTTGAAGTAGATAATGATCTTGGATTTAAAGTTACTTATATGCAGCCAGATATTGATATCCCCGTAAATACAAAATAACACCTACCATCTCACTAAAATGTTAAATGGCTATCTAATAATTTAATTTCACTCAAATTGATTTTAATAACAAATTATATATACTTAATTTTACTTTTGTTCAATAAATACTAATATTCTATACAAAGCTGATAATGTATACATTATTTTATAAGCAAAATGTAAAAACAGAGCTTACTAAATTAAGTAAAAGATGAACATTTTTGAAATATGTGAACTCCGACGTTAAAAGATTGAAAATCACTGATCTAAAATGTAAATATATGAATCAACAATCAAAAAAAATAAAAATAATATACTTTTTTTACATAAATATTAAATATTTTTCAAATACTCACTACAAGTAATAGACTATAATCAGTATAATCTACAAGTGTTATTTAACAAATTATATACTAGGTTATTGAAACTTGAAACTTACTTGATAGTCTATAAGTAAGACAATTTAGGTATAAAATAAATTAGAGTATACTCAGTTAAAACGGTATATTTAATTTTTATAAAATATTACTCATTAGTATGTCTCCTTTATACAATTGAAATAACATACATGACACATCTAAAATAATGTTTAATTAGAAATGTAAAAAAAAAATGTACTTATTTACTAACATATTTTAAGTGTAATTGGACTTACAAATTAAATTAAATAGTTTACAATAGATTTACATTGTGGTTGGCAGTAGAATTATTTCAGAAATAAATGGATTCTCCAAATATTGTCATGACAAAAAATTGCTGTTGTGTTGATATAAAAACATTGTAACAAACTACAAATAAATAAATAATTTTAATTCTTTCAATAACAAATATAACAATTCAAAAAACATAATAGGTACCTGAATCCACTAATCTAACATTATGGAAGTTGATTGTTTATAATTCATAGCAAGTAGTAATTTTATTGCTTGATTGGCTTGAATTAAGCAGCTGAAATTTGAAAAAATTACTTATCATTCCATTTGAAACTATAAAATAAAACATGTGTTAAAATTGTGAAATTTGATGTTCTACTATAATATAATATCTAGTGATATTTATCCAAAATTGATATTTAAGACCAAAATATTATATTTATTTTAATATAATAATACATCCTTATTTTGATATTTAATATTAGTAAAATAATATACTAATATGACTACTTGTTCTACTTGTGTTACATATTAATCAGTTACAGTGCAAGAACAATAATAGTAAAAAAAAATTCCAGTAATTTTCACTAAAATATGAAACATAAATATACATAGGTACTTAAACAAGTCTATTTCACGTTCATACAAAACAAATTGTACAGCTATAAAAAAAAACGTATATAATAAAGTACCTTTTTATCAAAATTATTAAAGAATACTTGCAGTAAATACAACAGATCATCGGGTGTCAAACGCGCCATTTTCCATGTAATCGGGATGGGTGTCGTTGTAAAGAAATAAGTGCAAGTTATGAAAAACAAATTTGTATAAAATTAATAAAAACTCGAGGTAGACAAAATTAACGAGCGACCTGTGTACTTACGAAATTTTACGATTGCCGGTTGAAAATTTATAACTTGAAGCAATACACGCGTGTATAATTAATAATTATTGTAATATTGTTCTGAAATAAAAGTATAAGACCATTTAAATATATTGTGAATTATGATACTAAGTTGACGAACGAGAATCGAAGAATATTTAGTGTTTATCTTCGCGAACAGATGTTGGCAATATTGACATATCAAAATACAGATTATCGAAATATCGGTTGAAGACCGATATTTTTGGATAAAAAACGAATAATTCGTCGTCATTCGTTCATCGAAAAAACGCGTAGCTAACTTCAAACAGTTATTCGGCTTCATATTATGCAAATTACCATACAATATTATTGTAGATATTTACCAACTACTAACCTGCCTGCCTGTTCAATATTTGATGCGACAAAAACAGTTTTGATAAATTGGATAAAAAATAAAATACTTTTAATAAAAAAATTATTATAATTTTATAGAAGACTATGCTCATAATCGGACACCAATTTTTTAGAACTTGAAGATTTTAAATTATTATTGACATGTTAATTACTTAACCTAATTTTTTTATTATAATATACCAACAACTCAACAATACAATCAACGGGTCAACATTTTAATATGTAGATGGCGCTACCGGTTCATTACATGTTGAAGTTTATTAATTTTATTGTTGTGTAACTGCTAACGAACCAACGTTATAAAAAGATAATAAAATAGTTGTTTTTTAACCGTTCTATAATTAGACAATTGAAACGGTGAAAAGCATCCCAAACGTATAGTTTCAAAGAGATCGAGGGGGTGACAAAACAGAAAAAAAATGTTGTGGATTCTATACCTGCGCATGTTTTTCTTTTTAAAAACAGATACCTTAGTGTAATTGTTATTGATTTTTTTTCAACTAAGTATTAATGATAAGTACTACCTATATTTTTTTTTAGTAACTTTTTACTTTTGTTAAACCAAATTATACATTTGCAGTTTATTATTTTTTGTTACCCAATGTAAATGTATAGTTTTTTCGTGTAACGTCCTATAATATTATGTCTACTGTACGCATTTATATAGATACAATAATATTTTATTTTAAATAATTTGTAATCTGTGTTTCTTTAATATAATAATTAAAATATATAATAAAAATGCAATAAATAATATACAAAAAAAAAAACACGAAATGAGAGATGTCAACGCTTGGTGAAACTCTTCAGAGAATTGGTTTCTTACTTATATTAATTAGTCCTATAGACGTAATTGGTATACTTGTTTAAACAATTATCTCTTATATATTTCTATTATCACATGTAGATAACTAGGTATCTACAACAATTGTATGATATACTTATAAGTTCTACATTTTTCATATAATTTTTAATACTTACATAATTCATAATTCGTTCAGTGTTTTTTTATTAAAATTACAAACAATATGTATACATCACCATTATTTTTGATATTTATTTAATCGACAGATATTTTCCATTTCAATTTATACCAGGTATTTTCTTTTTAATTTAGTATTAATTATTATTTAGTTATTCTTATTTAGTACTTTGGTGAACAATACTGATAATTATTATAGTAATAACTTTTAATAAAAACCAAGAGGTTTTTATGATATATTTACTTAAATATTAATGGATAAAAAATGAGAATATAACGGAAAATTTAAATAAATCATGCTAAAATACTTGGGTAAATAGGTATTATACTAATGTATATAATATTTTACTTTCGTAAATGAATATTAATTATTACAACACAGTTACTATTAATAAAGGTTAGATTAGGTAGATATAGTACGGTCAATACCTATACATTTTGTGAGTTGTGATACACAAATAAAAAAATAATATTTTGAATTCGGAATCATTGATTAAGTAATAGGTATAATAAACTATACAATAAAAAAAAAAAAAGGTACCTAAAAATCGGGCGTAACACGTTTCCACCAAAAATAGACCTTTCCCTTTTCCACCAATATATGTTTCCACCAAATGAGATCCTCCTAATTGTTTGGTTAATTTACCAAAATAATTTGTATACTATGCTTATATTAAAACCTTTAATACAGTAATAAGTTTATTAAAAATACTAATGCTGGATTGAAAAAAATGATTTATTAGTGTATTTAGCTATGTAAATATTGTACCTACTCATATATATATATATATATATATATATAATTGGTTGATATTTTTTTTTTTTCAATCGTAGAAGACCTATATTTTTCTTGGGTTTTTTTGGATTGATGTAAAATGTATATATATATATATATATAAATATACACACAATAAAATCAATGTATATTGAACGTTTATCGTATTTCATTGTATGTTAAACCGTTATCGTACTTATCTTTTATGTCGATTAACCATGATAATATCTAACGACTAACGGGACAATATTTTACGAACAAGTGAAAAGATTGCACAGTTTAAATAGTGCATTACAACTGCATGTATGTTAAAATAAAATGTAATTTTTAAAATTTATAATTCTGTGATGGCAAAAGTGATTGAAAGTAAACGTGGAAACAAAACACTAATACTAAACAATTTTAAATTTTTTATTGGATCAGTTAATAAATCTAATGAAAATATTCGTTGGCGATGTATTAAAAAAAGTTGTTTCGCAAAAGTGTATACTGATAATAATAATGAAGTATTATCGGATCAATCAATTATACACAACCACGAACCGTATTCAACAACAGAAATTGAAAGACAAATTATAAATTCGAATTGTAAGAGAAAAGCAGTTGATGATCTTTGTACTAGACCTAAAAAAATAATTTTGAAAGAAATATCCGAAATGGAAGGTACGTCTGATTTTACAAATAATGATGTAAAACGATTGAGAAAAAATATTTACGACGCTCGTAAGAAAGTGCTACCAGCAAACCCAAAAAATATTGCAGAGGTACATGAAACATTAAACAACATAAATACACATACGAAACAAGGTGAATCGTTTTTGCTAATTAATGATGAAGAAAAACATATTATAATTTTTACATGCGAATCGAACATGCGATTTTTATGTGAAATAGATGATTTATATATGGATGGGACTTTTAAGTATGCAGCTAGATTTTTTATGCAAATGTTCACAATTCATGGTATCAAAAATGGTCATTATATACCGTTGGTTTTTTGTTTATTACCCGACAAAAATATGAACACGTATATTAATACATTCAAATTTATTGTTGATAAATGTTCGTCGATTCATCTACGTTTATCGCCAAAAAGTGTAACCACTGACTTTGAAAAGGCGATTTTAAACTCTGTTAATGAAATTTGGCCACAGACAAAAATAATAGGATGTCGATTTCATTTAACGCAGGCTTGGTATCGTCAACTGCAAAAGCTTGGATTGTCGACCGAATACCAAAATCAATCATCTGAAATTGGCATTTGGATACGCCATACTTTTGGTTTACTTTTTTTAGAACCGACTGAAGTCACTGAATGCTTTGTAGAAGATTTTATGTCAAATCGACCTATCGACAAACGAGTTGAAAAATACTCAGATTATTTATTAGAGAATTACATTGATGAAAATAGTATGTATTCACCGACACTTTGGGCGGCTATGTCAAGTAGCCTACAACGGACAACCAACACATGCGAGTCATTTCATTCGAGGTTCAATCAAAGTTTTTATAAAGAAAGTCCTCCAATTATAAAATGGCTAACCGTTCTAATAACAGAAATTCAGACAGACGTGTACATCAAATTAAAAAGTACTAACATATCAAATAATCCACAAGATCATACTGTAAGAAACCGCCAAAAGAAAAATGATCAAATTATAACGGACTACAAAAATGGAATAATTGGAAGGTAGCATATTGCGTTTTATAAAACATACTATTCTAAATATATGTGTTAAAAACAATATTTTGTTTTAAATTTCAGGTACGATTTTGTGAAAAGTATATCCTACAATTTTAAAAAAAATATCAACTAACTATATCTATTATAACTATTATATTTTTTATAATTGACGATTTACAATTTATACCATAATAACTATTATATCGTTTATTTCACATTTTTATATTTGACTATTTACAATTATACTATAATAATTATTATATCGTTTTTATTTTTTTATTTTATTTGGTGGAAACGTATATTGGTGGAAAAGGGAAAGATACACTTTTGGTGGAAACGGGTATTGGTGGAAAAGGGCAAGGTACACTTTTGGTGGAAACGGGCATCGCCCTAAAAATCAGAGTTCAGGTAACAGATACTTGAGAAGAACAGGGGTACTAGTACCATAATTAATTTTTATGGTATTTTAGGATAAGTATCTTTACTTTTTTTAATTAAAATGAATGGTATGGCACCTTATAATATAGTGTTTGTTTTAAAATAATACAAAGTTAATATTTTTTTTTATAAGAAAAAAAATTGTTTACTGTATGTGTTTATTAATATTAATAATATTGATATTTGATATATAACGATATGTGATAACTCATAGACATTAATAAGTTTATAGTGATAATTATGCAATAACAAAAACCAAGATAATATCATTAATATTATAATTGTATGTATTGTACATTGTAAATATTTAATAATATTATCTTGATTTATAGTAATAATCAGATTTAAATATCGATCGACTTAACAAAATAAGTCTTATTGGTATACGCGAACCATTAATTCCATTAATCATCTTCTGTAGTATCAGCTTAGCCTCTACATTTTTTTTGATATAATTAAAATTTTGGACAGATTTTAGCCACTTTAGTAATATATACGTATTTGTATGTTCATAATATTTTTTAGCTAGGACATCTTAAAAGTTTAAGTGAGTATATCTTGCTTAACATCATTTATTTTTCCATATAACACAAAGTCATAATAATTTTAAAATTACATGCTCACACAAACCTTTTACAAAATTATTATATTTTGCGTTACGCGAAAAAATAAACGGTGTTAAGTGAGATATATATATTTAAACTTTTAAAATCTACATGGTGTTAAAAAGTACTGTGCAAAATACTATTATGAGTATTATGTAGTACTCACTTTAAACAGTTTAAACAAAAAATATTATTTTAAATATGTAT